GATAGCAAATGAAAACCTCATGAGGCACAAGAGCACTGGTGTGTGAGCTCAGAAGGGGCCAACGTGGAACCCGACTTAACTCGGCCATATTTGATTAGAGGGAACACACACGATGCAATCAAAATCGACAAAAGCAGGAACTCCAGAAAATCTGTCCAATAGCTGATGAAATCTGTCCCTTCAGTGCAGATTTTATCAGCCGCTCTCATGTTGCCATCCTGGTTGCTCACTCCCTCCAACAAACCCACGGATGGAACAGTGATGATCAAACATATAGAGGTTGATCTATGGCTCTTTGCTCTCTTATGTTGTTATAATGACTGCACTTGAGGGGACGCCCAAAAACACACCTGACAGCATGACAGAGGAGCCCAATTACCTTTCCTCGAAGAAAGTGTGTATGTGTATGTATTTGTGTCATAGGTGAAGAGCCGAGATGAGGAAGAGTGAAGATGGAAAACCTGAAACTCGGTGCTCGTGCATGTATGAGATCCAAAGATGACAGGCTCATCAGTCATCAATGGCCTTTTAAACTGTTCTCCGCAGGGACATCTGACCTTTTCACGTGATGTCAATAAGAGCTGCATGATGAATCAATCGCCCAAGCCTATGGCTCCTGGTAGCCTCTGTTATCCTAAGTAAATACGTGAGATGACATTCCGCCTGTTGAGACACCCGCAGACAAAAGCCCAAAGTTATGGATTGGCTTTTAATGGAGAAAGGGAATCCAGTGGCGAACAGCAGCGAGACAGAAAGAAGTAGTGAACCTCCTGGAGGGGCCCCTGCATGCAGAGACAACTTTCAGATGGATGGGATGAATAGATGGATGGAAGTGTGAGAAAGTACAAAGCTATGAAAGGAGAATAAAGCGAGCAGAAGGAGATAATGGGGTAGTCAAGGTCAGAGGAGTCTCTGCAACCTTTTCCGTCTGTCTGCACAGGATGGATAGAAACGGGAAGGGGAAGAAATGGGGCACACGAGGCCAGGAGGAAGATTAAGAAGAGGGCAGTGGGAGGAGATAGCTACTGAGGGAATGGAGAACGGGCCCTGAATTTTTGGATGTCAGGCTGTGTGTGTTTGTGTGTGTGTGTGAAAGTAGGTAGTGAGCGATAGGAGAATATGAAGCCTAATAGATGGGCTAAATGAGGTGTAATGGTGGTAATATAGAGTGACAGCAACTGGGCCAGTGCATTAAGGGGTTAACCAAGGCCAGGAGTCGATGACCTCCCTCCTCCCTCGAGACAGAATTATCTGTCAGTATGAAAAAGACACACTACACACACTACACACTCACTGATAATGAAGATGTGTCTGCCAGACTTCGATTCTACTGTTTAAAAATGTTATCATGACTGTTTCACCATTCTTATTAACATTAAAACAGAACTGGGGACAAATTAGACTATAGTTATGACTGTAAAGACAGGATCTCGGTTATTTTTTTAATTTTAGATGTTTTGATTTAATGTGTTTTTATTTACGGTTCCACACAATTCTCCAAAATGCTAAAGTTTAGGTGAACTGAAATAACTGAAGTCTATTTATTTAGGTGTTCTCCCTCAGGAGTTTCTTTTTATCGTCATCATCTCAGAAATATTCAGGCTCATCCAGTCAGGAGTCGGGAGCATCCCTCCAGAACCCTTTTTAGGACTTCCAGGAGGTACTCGTTTTCTTGTTTCATTTTCAAACTATATTATGTGCTTCCTTGCAGGTATGCTTCGAGTCAGTGTATACTTAAAGTTTGAATCTAAACACCTGTGTTTTATGTCCCGGCCCCTGCAGAACTACATCTGCACAGACTAATTCTATCATCCATAAGCTTAAAGGAATGGTAATAAAACGATGATGCTTGGTTTATGCTTTGCRCAACCTGAAAATTGTAGTCAGATAGCTCAGTATTTGGTTTATCCGAGCAAAGGCTATGGTTTCTTGGGGTATTTTGAGTTCTTCAGGTATCAGTTAATGAAAAAAAGTCTTCTGTCTGGTGACTGCCATAAACACCTGGCTGGGGAAGTGAAAAACTTCTGTCTCTCCTAAGTTATTTTTAAAAATAATTAAAAATAGACCCTAGTATAGCTAGTCAATAGCTCAGTGTTATTCAAAGTGATAGCTGTCAGGGTATGCTAGGGGATTCTCAAAAAGCTGGAGGGAAGATAAGAAAAAAAAGCAAAAATAATAAAAGACAAATCTAATGTTTTAAATCAGTATTATAAAATCAAGCCTGTTTTTTTTCTTCCTGCTTCATGTCATATTTTGTTTGTTTGAATGAATATTATAATTTAGAATAATAGATTAAAATATTATTTCAATTTTATTACAGTACATATTTTGTAGCTGTATTTGTGGGTTTGAAGGGGGTGGAGTACCTGATGTGCAGGCAAAARCTAGTGCTCTTTGGGGGGATCATGGCATGGAAAAGTTTGGGCATCCCTGCAATAGCCTATACCTGAAACCACTGCATATGGGTAATACATTTTGACAGAAGAACACTTCAAAAATAACCAGACTATCCATTTGATGCTTATAGCTGTTACTCTGAAAAATAAATTATGAAACTTTATTTTTTTCCATTTGTTTAACAAAGTATCTGAGAGCTTATTGAGTATTTGTGAATAACTATTAATGTACATTGAAAAAATATATATTTATCTACTAGGAACTGTTTTAGTCTAAGGCCTACGAAAATGCTTGTAACTTTAATTAATAAAGCACCAAATCCCTACATTTTTCAGATATTCAGACAGCAAAAAATAAACATAAAATAAAAAAATACACATGAGTTGTACATCACCCCTCCTATGAAACATGAAAAAATACAATTATGTTGTTCAAGTATACACTGTGTTGAAAGCTGTTTGGAGTGTTTGACAAAGAGAGATACGATTGCAAAAAAAATGTGTGAAAGAAAGAGACACTGCAGTCTTTAGGTGAGAAATTAGAAATATTAGCATATTTATTACAGCAACATGAAAGACATCAGAATGCCTACACCCTTTACAACAAGCAACGCAGAACAAATTGGCATGGGAACTAATAATCCTTATTGGTGGTCAAGGAAAGAAAAAACAACAGAGGAGAATAAAGAGAGAGAGAGTGAGCTGAAAACATCAAATGAGAATGTAATAAACATCAAGAACACAAACCTGCAGCGAAATGGAAACAAATTTGGTATTTAAGATAAAACAAACCAGCTAAAATCTGTGCAACCTTGCCAAGGTGTGCAGTGACTTTTTTGGAAATAAAAAATGGAACAAAAATGTGGGGTCGTGATGACATAACTTTTTAAAATGTTGAATAAGCCTGAGAAAAAGGAGCAAGTTGTAATAATTCCCAATTATTCTTCAGGCAGAACGCAAAGATGAAGATACGGTTGTCCACTTTAAAAGGATTATGCAACAACAAAAAGAAAATGTACGCCAATTACATTAGTGAAATGTAAAAAAGACAACAGCAATTCCCATCAACCTTTGGAGGTCATCAGATTGAAGTTGTATAATAATACGTTAGAGCAAACTGCCTTTTCTTTGTTTAAATTAATCAAACTGGTGGTGCTGTGGAGACCCTCTGGGATGTTTGAAAAAAGGGTGCTGAAGTGAGGTCACCTTAATTATAGAGATAAATACTACCTGTATATACACTTTTCTCTACTATCTCTTTTATATGACAACAGAAAGAACAATAACTCGATAAATAAGGCATCTAAAATGGCCAGCGGGCAACGATGATCCGCTAGAGCAAAATTATAGAGTTAGCAAGAGTAGAATGAACAGTTTTTGTCACTCCCAGCTTGTATTTTTGTACTTTTTATCCGTGGTTTATTATGAGAAATAGTGGTAAGTGGCAAGAAAATAGTCAGGATCATAGGTTCTTTTTGAAGTTTGTAGTGACACATATAGTCATTATTGTAACATCACCAAATTCTAAAACAATTAAGCAGAAAGAAAAACAATGAAACAGAAAATCTGCCTTTTATTAAAATATTCATCCAGCTGCCCTTAATAGTTCTGCCTGGTCTGTTTTAGATCTGCCCCTCAGTTATGTAGCTATGCCTGTTAAAGTTTCCCTCTGATAGACTTAAGTACACTTTAATTTTAAAGTTGTTTAACTGACTATTAAGAATGTTAGATTTTTAGATATTAGCTTAAAAGTATTGATAAAAAAATCATCTGACTTTTTTCTCAATTTCCAGAAGACTTGTTTTCAAAATTAAAACAGTTTTCTAATATTTAATAGGTAGATCAAAATAAACAAATTCACCAATGCTGAGTTACTTAGACACACTAATTGATGAGATAGTTACNGGATTAGACTTGCTAATGTTTCCAATGTTTCCATTAGGGGGTGTCCCGATACCAGTTTTTCTCCCAGTTTGGGTAATCACTAGCCTGGTTAAAACCACCCCGTGGTCCTTCGCTTTGCTTCATAGGAGGGTCTGGACTCTCGGCTATAAAGAAGTGATTCTTGCTGGCGACGTGGCCCCCAAGTTTAAAATGATTGAATCGGTTGGCCGATATGTGTACATGTATGCGTATGCGTCTGTATGTGTATGCTAGCTTCACTGTGAAGAAGGCTAAGCTAAGAAGCTAACCGGAAATTGCGTGCTGTGTAAACAAGCCTACTGAGAGGAGAGAGCCCAACGAGACAACTGTAAATGAGAGCTGCTGCTTTGTCAGACAAATTTAATTTAATTTGGAAGCCTCATCAACACTGACTGGCTTCATTCACTTCCTCCACTGCCATTGCTAAACTCACTAGCAGACACTGCACAGAAAATCTGTGTTGTTCAAAACTCTACCTTCTGTTTGCTGATTGGCCCAGGTCAAATAAACTACAAGCAGACACTGCGCAGAAAAACAACATTCTGTTCTCTGATTGGCCCGAATGAAATTCTCCTAAAGAAGTCCTTGTCTCTGGGAGAAATCCCAGACGGAGCAGTGAAGGGAAACTAGAATTGAGTGGAACTGCGTAGGAAGGCAAGGGCCAGGCTTGGTAATCACCAATGACTTTCAAAACGCTTTTTATTTAGAACAAGTTGGCTCTTTCCTTATAGACCTTCTCTGACTGTACCAAACCAAATATGAACTGATAAAAATTTACAAAATTTTCTTTCAACCTTTCTTAAACATGGAATTGCCAAACTTTTTTATTTGAAACGCAAACTGTAACACAATGAATGTAGTATCAATAGCATTATAGGTATCGGTTTCGGTGTCGGGGCACTTAGTACGTATACGGGTACTTGTAAAAATGCTAATATCGGTACTAATATTGATACTGGTATTGGGACACCACTAGTTTTCAAGTTAATCAATTACAACTATTCTTCTTGTGCTGAGACACTTCAGTTTGTCACAAAGCTTTCAGATACGATAAATGCTGGAGCTAAAATTCAAATGATCAAAAACACTTTGTATGAAATTCAGCACTTATACATTTGCTTTTATTTGCAAATAACTCTGCAACTCTGAACTGAAATGGAAAGTTGTCAGGTCCTTTGTGACTAGACATCCTTTAGCTAAGATAAAGACTTACTGGTAATCAAATGCTAAAATTGTATCATAATAGAAATTTCATCTGAGAATAGTTCATATTTAACTCTTCTACTTTCCTTTTTCCAAAAAAGTATTGCTAAACCTGTGTTGTATGTAGATATGGGGCTTAAACTGCGAGTATTAACTGTCAAAGATGGATTTGTGAATAAAGCATGCTAATCAATAAGTCCATTCTACTCATTCTAACGCTATCGCAGAAACTGCAGTCACTGTCACCTATCTATCAAAGCTAATGCTTTGCGCCGTGCTACATTCCTTTGTTCAGACTAATGAATCACCTTCATTCACCTTTTACCTGTATGGCCCTTCCTGATCATGAACTTCAGAAATCTCTTTATCACAATAAATGCACATCATAGTCATCATCATAGTTATCGATACAAACATTCTGACATTGGAAATCAACACTGTACATATTTACACTATAATACAATGATATTTACTGTACTTTATGCCACTGTTGGTCCTACAGATCACCATATGTATTAAAACTGATGGTTTGGATCACACTAAAAGCAGATTTAGTGCCTTTAATACAGTGTTCACAAAGAGGGTTTCTTTATAGCTAATTGTGTAATTATTGGGATCATAAGCAGGTGCCTTATGAAGGAGAAAAAAATAAACATTTGCTTATTGTTGTAAACATTCTTTGGAAAACATATTTCATAGTTTTGAAATGAGAATAAACACATAGGTTGCTAAAGGTAGTGCCTTGGTTGTGACTGTTGAAGACTAGTTGATGGTTCAAAATTTGCAAAAACTGTGAGAAAATCTAAATTTTATTGTTGCAATTTTACTGAATTCTGAATAATTGTGACCAGAAAGCCTTGCAGCCATGTTTAGCACAGCCCTTTTTTTTTTTGAAAAATCTTGGCTTATTGTCATGCACATGGCATGCAAAATTATAATCTATGCACTTTAAATTTGTTGCCCACCTCTGCACACATTATACACACCATGGCAGCTATTATGTTTATGATTTATTCTGATGGAGGACACTTTTAAACTGAAGATTGGTAGATTCAAACCAGTTTTTCAAAAATTATTAATGGTTTTTCTTTTTATTTTTAAGGTCTGGACATTTGTCTCAGACATTTTTTTTGCCAGAGAATGAAACACCTTGGATACTTGTAAATGCCATTCACCAAGTCTTCAAAAGTCTCATCTCTTTGAGACACCACCATAAATGATAACCAGAAAGTCAGACATATACGTAGTAAAATTTACCCTCTTGCACATTTGAAAATCACCTCTGTAGATATGTTTTCTTGTAGGAAAAAGGCGCCATTCCAATCCTCCTTTATCATGCAGACAATGTAGAAAACACATAAACTTAAAAAGGACTTCCCTTGTGTAACTATCCAACCAACCTGAAGACTGATAAAAAAGTGCAGTTAGATTGATGGCATATTACTGTACCTAGAAGAACTTTTCTAGATTACTGTACATGGCACAACCCTGGGAAAAAGCAAGGTATGTCTTCAACAGTCTCAGTGCTTATAACCTTTGATTTATCTTTGCTCTACAGGAATACTATAACTTTCTTAACACATCTGAAACATAGGAAGGCTAAATCTGAGATAATACTTACATCTGGTGTAAAATGTTAACAGTACCAATTTGTTTGAATAAACTAACGGAAGAGTAACACTTTTGCTGCATTAATGGTAAAACCAAAGCAAATACTTTAACAAATACCTGGTTGAACTGCTATGGAAGTGTATCTGAGAGCAGTATTGAAGGAAGCCCTTGTCCTGGCCAAAAACACTCATCCAAGCTAGCAAAATCTACATGTACCTCCGTCTCTACAGGTCCAGTTTCTTATTCCACCCCTCTCTCCTCACACATTCAAGTCATTCACAATCTCGGCTCGTTCGTTGGCTTTCTGGGAGCAGACAGCAATAAAAGAAGCCGTATCTACAGGGTAATGACTCCTGTTAAGGTTGAGCAATATAATCTTCACCACCAATACAAACGTTAGGTCCATCTCTACGGTCATGGGATATGCTGCCCATATAAACATTTATATACACATGTACATATCTAATGACCCTTTTTAAATCCTTCATCGTGAGAACGCAAAACAAACAAAACAATGGTAAAACCTGACTGTACACCTCACAAACAGTGATGATCATTATATTCAATTTTTTTATTTATTTAAATTTTTTTTGTCATTTCTCAGGTTTTTTTCTTTTTCGTTAAGTTGACAAGTTGTGAAATGGTCTGGAATGCTTTATGCGTGGTCTTGTTGCTGGAAAACGTGTCTCTCCGCTGCTCCATTACAGTACAGTGACGGTGTTGCTGGGGATTCTGAGTGCTAAAGCCAGAAGTGCCCATCGATGATGCAGATGCGGGGAACGGAGGGGGAGCATGGGAAGGTGAAGGAGTCAAGCATCAATGTTGTCTCCATTTTAGTGTGTCTCAAAATCAATGGAGACCCAGAAAGCACAAAGTATCTGATACAACTCCATTTCAGTGGGGACTCTTTCACAGGAGCATCCAGTTCAACTCTGTCTCACCGTGTGTCTTTGTGGAAACTGTTATACGTGGACATGTGTCCCCTGGGCTTGCAGGCTCTGCACACTGGATAAAATCTTCTTCTGGTGGCCAGCCAGAGTCACTCCCATCTTAGTCAATTCACTAGACAAAAAAAGAGAGAATTTAAAAATATTTTAGAATGCTCACTTCAGTCAAAACATTTCAATGATTGGTCAAAGACATTTCACATCAGAGATGCACCAATACCAATGCTCGTATCAATTCAATACCATGCATGTGTACTCAAACTCATGGTATCCAATACCACTTCTAAAGCTGAAAACATACTTCCTGCGAACTGCCGACGTCGGCACGGGTTGTTGCAGTTTAATGATGAAAATTACGTGACCGGGCTTCTCAGCATCATGTCGACAGTCCCTTTTGGCACAACCCCCCGGCAGAACTTTTTGACCCCCTTCCCGTGTCGACGGTAATGTGTGATTGGTTCGTGGGCGTGTTTGTTTGTGCTACACTGAAAGTGCTCGGATGGACATGGCAGAAGAAAAAACTCGCTTCTGACTGGAGCAGACTGTTGAAGCTGTTTTAAAGATAGACAAACCAAGAAAAACTCATGCGTTTTTGTGCTGAAAGCGCTATGCGCTGCCTTTACTTCAACCACTCGGTAAAAAAAGGAAAAAAAAGAAAATAAACGACTCACTCCCCGAGCTGACCAGAAAGCAGAGTTTTATAAAGATAGTCAAACCGTGAAAAACTCATGAATGAGATTAAACAGACGTTGTGCACAGAGGAATCTGACCGATAAAAGCTATGGAGCTTTACCAGGACAGATGTGGATAAATACGTCAGGTGAATGACTTTTTTTTCTGTATTGCTGTTGCGGGGAGAAATTCCATGCAGTGACGTATGTTTCAGTGGGTGGAGGGGGGGGGGGGTTCCC